TGTCCTGTGTAACTACTTCTATGAAGATTGACATCAAGAGGAGAAGATGTGAACAAAGGGTGGGGAAGGAAGTTGGGACTGTGTGCCTTCAGTAGTGGTTTTCAAATATGGTGTTCAAAGGGGGCTACATCCGCAAGTCCATTAACCCTAGAATGTAAGTTTTAAGAATGTTGTGGCACCTCCAACTGTATTTATACACCAAAAGGAAAATCAGAGAACGGTATTAACACTCCTCTCCTTGTGATAATGAACACAGTCCTTATTTAGAGACACCCTTGAACTCTTCAGGGGAGTGGCTGGGACGCTGTACTCTCCATTTAGCTTGAGACCGCACCTGTCCCACCACTAGATCATAAGAGCTCTTCTCTTGACACCTCCCCCGTCTTTATACTTTTTAAAATTTGAGATAAAATCCACATATTATAAAATTCACCATTTGAAAGTATACAAAACACTGTATTTTAGTGTTTTTTAGTATGTTTACAAAGTTGTACAACCATTACTATCTAATTCTAGAACGTTTTCTTCACTTAAAAAAAAAAAAACAACACTCTGTCCCCATTAGCAGTCATTTCTGATTTCTGTGTACCCCCAGTCCCTGGTAACCACTAATCTAATTTTTATCTTTATGGATTGCCTAGGATGGACATTTCACATAAATAGAACAGTGGAGTATGTCACCTTATGTGTCTGGCTTCTTTCACAAGCATAATGCTTTCAAGGTTTATCCATGTTGTAGTGTGGGCCAGTAATTTATTCCTTTTATTTACTGGATAATATGCCACTGTACAGGTATACCTCATTTTATTTATCAGTCAATGGACATTTAGACTGTCTCCAGATGTTGTCCATTCATGTGCTGCTATGAACAGTCATGTTCCAGTTTTTGTGAGGCTAGATGTATTCATTTCTCTTGAATATATATCTAGGAATAAAATTGCTAGATTATAAGATAACTCTACAGTTAACTTTCTGAAAAAATGTCAGAATTCTTTTCATACTGGCTTCATTATTTTGTATTCCCAGTAACAAGGGATGAGTGTTCCAATTTCTCTACTCCTTGCCAACACTTGCATATTTGTGTCTGTGTTATTTTGCTTGTGTGTGCTTGCACGTGTGTATGTGTGATTCTAGCCGTCATAGTGGATGGAAATGGTATCTTATCCAAAATCTTATCATGCGTATTAGAACTGTAGTGTTGTATGTCGTCTATTGGAGAACTTTAGCCACTGATTTACTCAAGATTTACTAGCTTCCATCACATGCTCAGCACTTCTGGGAAGCATTAGTATGCTAATCAGATACCTGAGATAATCAACTTTTTAAGAGAAAAGGTTTATTTTGGCTTATAGTTTTGTTTTTGTGCTGGAGATTGAACCCAGGAGTATTTAACCACTGAGCTATATGCCCTGTTCTTTTTCTTTTTTAAGACAGGCTCTCATTAAGTTTCGGAGGCTGTTCTCAAACTTATGATTCTCTTGTCTCAACCTCCTGAGTTGCTGAGATAACCTGCATGTGCTATCATGACCAGCTTGGCTCACAATTTTGTTGGTTTTGGTCCACGGTCCAATTGGCCCCTTTGCTTTTGGACCTGTGGCGGGACGGGACATATGGTAGAGCAAATCTAATCAACAAAAGAGAGAATGCAAGAGAGAAAGTGGAAGAGACCAGGGTCTTAAAATCCAATGACCTTAAGACCTCTCCCTAGGCTTTGCCTTGCCTCTTAAGCTGTCCACCACCTTCCACTAGTGCCAAGCTGGGGACTAAGCTTTTAATACATGGGCCTTTGGAGGAACATTTAAGATCGACACTATAGCAGATAAGGACACAGACAAAAAGAGCAAGGCAGTCCTGCCCTGGCTGGCAGAACTTACATTCAGTAAAGACCTAGATAAAACATGAGTAAGATGGTTGCCCACTGGAATGAGCCTCTGAGGGATATGAACAAGGGCTGAGGTACAGAATGATCATGTGTGTGCATAGGCGGGTGGATTGCTCAGGGTTTTTCTGAGAAACAGACTCAATAGCATGTGAGATTTATTTTAAGGAATTGGCCCATGTGGTTGTGGAGGCTTAGTGAGTCCAAAGTCTCATGGGAAAGGCCAGCAGGCTGGAGGCTCTGGGAAGAGCTGCACTTGGCAAAGCCAGTCTTCCGTGGAACCAGGAGGAGCCCACGTTGCCGAGGAAGTTCACAGACCATCTGCTGGAGAATTTCCCTTTGCTCAGGGGAGGTCAGCCTTCTGTGTTTTTTTTCCCAGGCCTTCGACTGATTAAATGAGGCCCAGCCACAATAAGGAAGGGAATCTACTTTAAAGTCCACAGAGTTAAATGTAAATCTCTTCCCAAGCACCTCCACTTCACAGAAACATCTAGAATAATCTTTGACCAAATATCTTGACCCAGAAAACTTGACACATAGAAATAATCATTGCAAGAGTTGGGGGTGTTCACAATAAACAGATGACTGGAAACAGGTGCTCTAAAGGGTCAGAAGAAATCAGGCCTGCAAAGAGTAGGAAGAACAGCCCAACTGAATTTCTCTTCTTCTTCTTTTTTAAATCAAGAAGACCTGTTATCAAGGCCTGTAAAAAGCAAAAGGGAAATCAGGGTATGGCATCAAGTGATGGGGGCAGGGCATTCCCTTTTCCTTTCCCAAGTGAGAAATTATGTCCATTTCCAAAATTGGATACGAGGGCAGGGTTCCAAGGAAAGCAACGGGGAAAAGGGCACATCTCAAAAGTCCCAGAAAAGATGGTTGAGACCCTAAGGATTTGCCTTCCAAATTTCCTTGGAAGTCGAAAATTAGGGACTGTAATTAACAAACAGGATCCAAGTTATCTCTAGAAAGTGCTTCCCTCCATTCTAGTGGGGCTTCAGAGCTCAACTGAAACAACGAAACAGGAAATCCTACCTAACCCATGTCCCCCTTCCATGCTGCCAGGGCTTGGATCTGTGCCATTTTCTCCCCAGGAGTGACCAGAGTGCCAGGACATGGGGACTCTGTCGTCAGTTTTGAAATTTCTTGTTATAAAACCTGATTCATTAATCAACAAATTTCTACTCAAAATGGGTGAAGGCATTGGTGAGGAGCTTTGAGCAAGTGTCTTAATCTCCCCAAGATGACCTAGTATTTTTGTAATCATCAGGGTTCTTTCGGAGCCAACCAACCTGTGGTAATTATTTGCCTTTCTGGTGTCTATCTAGCAAAAATCCAGGTCCTTTTTATTTTGGTTCCCTGCTCTAAGGCATTTCCTCCCTTCCTCCCCTTCCTCTGTCTCTCTTTTCCAATCAAGGAAGACCCACAACATCTCTGTAAAAAGTGCTGTGCTGTTTTCCCCAGCCAGACTGGGCTCCCGGTGAGTTCTCCTCTTCCGGAGGAGCAAGGAGGCTTTGTCTGCTCTCTTCCTCAGGCCAGGGGTTGACTATTGATTCCAGTACCTCAGCTGCCACATGTAAATGTATTCACCAGCCAGATGACAACAGCTTTAGAAACTTGCCCGGAAGCCAGAGGAGCTCATGTGGTTTGGAAATACTTGCATGAAAATTTAAATTCTGGCAAATATTTTAGGTATGGAGATGAATCTTAGGGGAGATAATCTCTGGTTGAATGTTAACTCTAAGAATATATTAAAGCCAAAAAAGGAGGTCATGGTACTTCTTTTTCCTTTCCTGAAATAATAACTAACAGGGGGCACTTTTGATGTGCCAGGTATTTTTCATGTGGTGGTGGGAGTCGAACCCAGGGCCTCTCAGTGCTCCGCCACTGAGACACATCACCAGCCCAGTGAGTCATCACAGCTCTTGAGAAAGGTACTCCTGTCCCTATTTTCAGATATGGAAACTGAGTCACAAAGAGCTTAAAAACTTGCTCAAGGAAGTACAGAAAGTCAGAGTCCACTACATGAATTTTTTCAAATTTGTTTTTTAGTTATAGGTGGACACAATATCTCGATTTTATTTTTATGTGGTGCTGAGGATCAAACCCAGTGCCTCATGCATGCTAGGCAGTGCCCTACCTCTGAGCCACCACCCCAGCCCCAGTGAATTTTTAACCTAAGCATTCAAATGTCATAAAAGTTATTCTTCCAAGCAGGAAGCATACTAGAAAGAGTCCCTACTGCTCTTGTCATGGTGGCCCTCAGTGAGGGCTTTCTGTGCCTGCTCCAGTCAGTGACTAGGGAGGAGGCCTCTTAGAGTAGCTGTTGTGACTTGATCCCTTTTCTTTTCTTTTTGGTGCTGGGGATGGAACCCAGAGACCTTTGTATCCCATGCCTTCACTCTTCCACTAAGCTATACCCCCCAGGACCCTAGGGTCATGTGGCTGTGCACACCGTCTCATCTGCAGGAAATAAATCCTATTCCTTAAAGCACTCCCTAGAGCCAGTGTCTCCAACAGCCAGGAGCAAAAGATTGAACTGGGATGCAGTAAGAGGGCAGGTTTCCACTTGGCTGGGCAGGAGTGGGGTCTGAGGCTGCTGCTGGTCCACTGACTGGAAAAAAGGACCTTGAATGCTTCTTTTTTCTTTTTTTGGGTGTGTGTGGGAGTACCAGGGTTTGACCTCAGGGGCACTCGACCACCGAGCCACATCCCCAGCCATGTTTTTAATTTTATTTAGAAACAGGTCTCACTAAATTGCTTAGCGCCTCACTTTTTGCTGAGGCTGGCTTTGAACTCTCCATCCTCCTGTCTCAGCCTCCCAAGCTATAGGGATTACAGGTGTGTGCCCCTGCGTCTGGCCCTGGATTGCTTCTGAATCTCCATTGGCATCCTCAGTGTTTCAGTGACAAGGAATTTCTCTGCTAAGAGTTCGCTCTGTATTTGAGCACACATTCGGCCTAGTTCCCACTTGTCATCTCTGTTTTTAATCACTGCAGTAGATGTTTTCCATTTACAAGGATATTTTGGGCTGAGTTGTAATCCCTCATGATTCATATATTGCAGCCCTAATCCCGGTACCTCTGAATGTGACTGTAGCTAGAGATATGGACTTTAAGCAGCAATTAAATTAAACTTTTGGGAAGGATGTGACCCAATCTGACTGGACTCCTTATAAGAAGAGGGAATTTGGGCACACAAAGAGACACCAGGGAAGCATGTGCATGGAGGGACTATCGTGTGAGACGCAGCAAGGAGCCACCTATGAGCCAAGGAGAGAGGCCTCGGGAGAAACCAATTCTGCCCATACCTTGACCTTGGACTTCCAGCTTCCAGAAGGGTAGGAAATAAATTCCTATTGCTTAAGCCACCCGGGCGGTGGAATTCAGTTATGGCATCTGAGTAGACTGATGCAGAGGGTACCCATTTCTGAGCCCCCTCCTGCATCTGAGGACCCCACCATAGTGTGAATATTGCTGGGAGACAGGTCTCCACCTTCCACTAGGAGAACTCAAAAGAATGTTGTTTATCCTGTCCCTCTACAAAGGGGACAGGTTGTTGAAGCCTGGCTCTTTCAAGGACTCTGAGTTTGGTGTGAGGTCACCCAAAAGCCAGGGCAGCAGTTAGTGGCACCCCTTGTCCAGGGGCCCAGTAGCAGTGGAGGAATCCAGGGCCCAATGGTGGTGAGGCTGCTGCTGGGTTCCAGGGCAGTGTGGAATGTTCAGGGGCAGTGGCAACAACACCCCAAGGGCACCGTCCTGGGGTGAGACCAAGAGGGGGTCAATGGCCTGGTTCCCTTAATTCCTTGCCTTTCTTCCAGGCTCAGTTCTCCAGCCTTCTTAACAATTCTTCCTGCTCTCCAAGTCTCTCCATTTGATTCTCCTTCTACTTAAGCAACCTAAAGCTGATTCAATGTTTGCAATCAAAACCTTTGACTTATATAGATTTATTCAAAAATTTTGGAATAATTGACCTTTTGGTGCTGCTTAAATCTTCTTCCACTGGTATGCTTTTTAAAAAAAAATTTATATTATTTATTTTTATGTGGTGCTGAGGATCGAACCCAGTGTCTTACATGTGCAAGGCAAGTGTTCTACCACTGAGCCCCAACCCCAGCCCTGGTATTCTTTTTACTCATCTACATTCTGTTGCCTTTCCATCACAAGCAGAGCAATGACATGTTTTCCATCTTTATTATACCAAATATATTATATATATTAATTAATTTATATAATATATATTATATAATATTATATTACATATATTACATTATATTATACATCGATATTATATAATACCTATATTATATCTAGGATTGTGGATCATCTAGAGAGTAATCATGTTCAGTGTTCCAGCTAGGGAGGGTGAGACCCATGTGGATAGTAAGACCACATCATAATCTGCAACCTTGAATCAAATGTTTCACTCTGTCCTTTACACCAGGGTGTCAGCACCAAAAATGAAAAGGAAAATGAACTAGGTTTCTTCCAATGGAATCATGCAGAGGTTGTACCCTTGGGCATCCATAGGTTTACATCCCAGGCAGCCATGGAGGCCCGCCTGCATGATTGTGGGAACACTGGCATTAGAGTTGATCTTCCCCATCATTTCAGCACCCAGACCTCGTCAGTTAATCCCTTTTCCTTGGTTCAGTGCCCCTGAGTCACCACTTTTGAAATCCTTTTATTATAAAACCATATTCATTAATTGACAAATTTATATTTAAAGTAAATTGGGGCATTGCTATGGAATTTTGGGCAAATCTCTTAATCTCCCCAAGTCTTGGTTTTATTATTTATAAGGGGAGACAAATAGGCTTCAACTTTGCAGGATGATTGAGATTTAGCAGGATTCTAAGTCCCATCTACCACTGGGATCAGTAAAGGTCATAGGTGTTTGGAATTCTGGGAGGACTGGTCTGCTAGGATTTATCTGCTAGGAGCTCAGCACGCCTCCCTTGATGGAATTTTCCAGACAAGGCAGGCCAGATGCAGTCACAAAGCTTCATTCTGGGGAAGGAAGTGTGACTCCCAGTGCAGTGCGTGTCTGTCCCGTGACTTTGCTCAAGTCTGATGGAGTGATAGCAAAGAAGGGAGGGGAAAAGAGGAAGTAACCACCAAGGCCCAACAGAAAGAATCATTTTCCTGGAAACTAAGATACCGGGACACAAACGGCCTTGTTGGGTATCCATCTGTTTGTTAGAGTGTGGAGGTAGACATGGTCTCCACGTCTTTGTCAGTAGCTCAAAGCCTCCAGTACTGGGTGGCTGTTCTGGAAGAGAAGTGGGAATAGCCGAGGTGTACACTGAGCAGTTGGCAGCAAATGGCAGTCATGTGGCAGTGATTGGCAGATGGAGCCACAAATGAGACCAAAATTGGCAGAGTTGATGGGCCTGGAACCTTGGTGAAATACCCGCAGGGACTCCCAGAAATATTTGGTAGAATTTTACTCAGTACTGTGGTCTTTTTGTTATAGGTGGGATCAGGGCTCGGTGAAGCTTGGATCACTCAGGATTGGGAGCAACACAGGTAGAACTTTGAGCACAGTGCTGGTCACAGAGTTGGTGGAAGAGCTGCGGAAGCTACCAGCCCACAGAATAGCCACACAAATTGTGACCAACCAATATCTGTTTAAGGAGGTGACCTTGTGATGTCCAATGGAATCTTAAGTTTCTATTCATTTTTTTGAAAATAATGAAAACCACTCCTAAACTTTTGTTTCTACCTTAATGGATGACCAGAGTCGGGGAAGGGGGGAATCTAGGGTTCCAGGATCTTCTTGTCAGAGACCACAAAGGATACGAAGGGCAGGGCATTGTCTGTTCTCCATGTCCTGTGCTGAGACCAACCAGTGATTGCTGGAAAAGGCCAAGTGATACATCATGTCCTCATGGTCTGTTTTATTTGCTTAGTGGCAGAACCTAGAGACCTTGTGAGGCTTTATGGGATCAATAGAATAGAACTTCTGGGTTAGGCACATGAAATTAAGAAAATAAATAGGACTGAGTGTTGGAAAAATATCTGTGGGCTGTATTCTGAGTACTATTCTGAGGCTCCTGGAGAAGATTGAAATGCAACAATTTGAAGCATTTACTACCAGATTGATTGACAAACTTTAGAATGTAGTAAAGTGTAGAAAAGGAGGTTGACTTGTATAATAATATATATAAAAATATAATAATTTTCCTTCTATAATTTAAATTTTTGTTGTCTTAGTGTTTTAGACAGACAGGAATGTGTATTTGATTTTTTAAAATATTTTTTTTTAGTTGTAGGTGGACACAATGCCTTTATTTTATTTGTTCATTTTTTTATGTGGTGCTGGGGATCGAACCCAGTGCCTCATGCATGCTAGGCAAACACGCTGCCACTGAGCCACAGTCCCAGCCCTTGCTTTTTATTTTTATTTTTATTTATTTATTTTTTGATGCTGGGGATTGAACCCAGGCCTCACATATACTAGGCAAGTGCTCCAACACTGAGCTACACTCATAGCCCTGCACCAGTGTTCAGATAGGTTCCTCTGTGTGTGTACGCGCGCGCGCGCACACACACACACACACACACACACACACACACACAAGCGAGAGAGTGCTTTGGTCTTCAGTTTAAGCCAAATCTGTGGTTTAAGGTGTTGTTAAGAATCCTATGGGGCCGAGCGCAGTGGTGCACGCCTGTAATCCCAGCAGCTCAGGAGACTGAGACAGGAGGATCTTGAGTTCCAAGCCAGCCTCAGCAACAGAGACGCCCTTAACAACTCATTGAGACCCTGTCTCTAAATAAAATACAAAACAGGGCTGGGGGTGTGGCTCACTTGTCGAGTGCCCTTGAATTCAATCCCCAGTACTGCCCTTCCCCACCGAAAACAGAATCCTATGGGAAAAGCCTGTGTGTATTGCCCATCACTGATGGATAAATCTAGGGGATTTCACAGCAGTAATGGAAATAAGGAAGGTTGGGAAGGAAATGGAGATGGGAAAGGGAAAAGGCTGAAGGCACAGGTTCAAATTTCTATTGGCGAGGTATAATATTTCAATTAATGTGGGGCTGGATGGAAATGGTGGAGAATATTTCTTTATTCTTGCTCTCATTTAATATTCTTTTTGTCTTATTCTTCAACATATAACTTAATTTAAAAAAATTTAGAATAACTATTTACATCTTAATCAGGAAATTATTAGACATTTCCCTGCTCAATGCCTCCATATATATTTTTATATTTGGGTAAGTAGACATCCTGTTGTTAACTTGTCACATTTATTTAACTCCATAATTGATTTTTAAATTTTGCTAAAATACCTGGAGATAATGTTGTAATAGTATTTAAGTTTATTATGTGGTAAACATTATACTAAACACCTTATATACATCATTTAATTTAATGATTATAACAATCTCATGAAGTAGGTATTATTGCACCCATTTTATAGCAGCTGAACCTTTCTATCAGAAAGAATACCTACCTGGGAAATGCCAAATTTATGCGTGATGGTCACAGGATCTTTAGAGTGGTCTGTTTTTTGGTTGTTCTGAATCCAGACATACAGGACAACATCCGATACTTCCCCTGTAGAACTCTGCAAGAGTGAGGAAATGTAACACCTCAACAAACTCCCTCTCATATCTCATTGACCTTTTTATCACCTGCCTATGTAGGGACCAGAACTTGTGACTGGTTGAATGTCTTGTGCTCTTAGGCCATCATAGGGTGTGACCCCCATCCTCAAGGTCCAAGTCAGTATCTATATCCCAGGCATTTCAGGTCGAGAAGGGATGAAGAAGAGACAAAGGGTGATCCCTTGACCCTTCTGGTTATATCCACTTGACCTGATCTAAATACAAGTCCGTATTTAGCTGAAAGGAAGGCCAAAAAATGTAGTCTTTATTCTGAATGAACATGAATCCAGTAAAAATTTTATTACTATGGAGGAAGGAGGAAATGAATATTGGAGAAAAACAGCAGTCCCTATCACATGAGTTAGAAATAAAATCAAGGAATCAAGGATAATTGCCAGATTTTTGCATAAGCAAAAACTTTAGATGATTACATATTGAGATTGATATTGTCATTAGAAATTGAAGTTAAGCCCCTGATTACAGGAACTCAGAGGAGTTATTAGCACATAGGTGGCATATGGGTCTGTGACTGGCGGAAATCACATAAGGAAAGAATTAAAAGAAGAGAAGTCAGACAATTCACCATAGCCAAACTGTGGAACCAAACTAGATGCCTTTCAATAGATGAATGAATAAAGAAGCTGTGGTATATATACACAATGGAATAGTACTCAGCAATAGAAGAGTATACAATTATGGCATTTGCAGGTGAATGGATGGAGTT